ATTGCCCTAGGCTACCGGTATGTGGTCCTGGACATCCCCCTGCTTTTTGAAACCGGCACGCTGACCAGGTTCATGAAACACACTGTCCTCGTGTACTGGTAAGGAGGTGGTGAGGAGCCCCGGAGTCCGTGGCTGAGCACCGTCTGCTTGGTGGGCTGGATCCCTGCTCTCCAGCGCTCTCCTTTCCCCTACCCTTTCGGGCCAGCCTTGCCTCTGAGGAAGCTGGGCTGGGGCGGAGGGAGGCGAAGGGCTGTGGAGAGACCTGCTGCAGCCTTTCTCTGGAGAGAGATGAAAGGAGCCCCTGTGCACGGAGAACCCTTCCCCCCCCCCGAACTCCTCTGGAGGCCGTGTTAGTCTCTCTGTAGCAGTGGAAGGGAGCCAGAGTCCAAGAGCACCTTCAGGACCAACAACATCTGTGGCAGGGGAGGAGCTTTCATGAGTCACTCGAGAAAGCGGTCATCAGTCATGCACAGAAGCCCTTCCCCTGCCGCAAACTTTGTTAGTCTTTGAGGTGCTCCTGGACTGCTGCTCTTTTTGGGTACCCCCTTTGCCCCAGAGGTTTCTGGTGGGCAGGTGTCACTTAGGAGACTGGAGGGTGATGACTCTGAAGCCCGGCAAGATCGAGAGGCAGAAAAAAGCCAAGAATTCCTTCTGGGGGCTCATCAGGAGAAGATCAAATAGACCTCCTGAAAATACAAGAAAATTAATTAATATTTTAATAACAACAGCCAAATCGACAATAGCAAAAAACTGGAAAAATACTAAACCTCCAACAGTGACACAATGGATGCACAAAAACTGGGATGTTTTCATGCTTGAAAAGGTCTCAATTTATGGCTCCTCCCATCAAATTGAATGTGAATTTTAATAATCCACTTAACATTTGGTATCCAATTTTTGACAAAATAGATTTAGAAAAAAATGATTGGGAGAATATCTCGGAAGCAAAATTTAAAATAATGTTGTTCAATTAAATATAAGTCATTCGCTTCTGTTAACATTGTTTCAATTTAATATGTCACAAAAGTAACTATTTTAAAAGTTATATTGGTAATTGCACATAGAATTGTTTAGTTAGCTGCCATCCTAAATATTGTTCTTCGATTAATACTATACTTAGTTGATGTATAGTTTTGACTCCTTGTTTTACTCTCTTTGTTCCAACCTACCACTATTTTTATTCAAACAGATCAATGATGTTTCACTGGATGGTTGAGGGAGTGTTTTGGAGGGGCGAGGGGCGCATTCCTCCCCCCCACGAGCCCGGCTCAGTCTGTGTCTGTTTGTCCCTTGGGGATTCTCTGGGTCTGGCAGCGTCCCGCTGCTTACGGGCCCTTCCATTTATTTATTTATTTATTTATTTATTTATTTATCTTTACATTTATACCCCGCCCTCCCCGAAGGCTCAGCGTGGCTCACAAGGGGCACGAATGCCCATGTTAAAACCAGGGTTCCCTCTAAGCTGTGGAGTCCTGTGAGCAAAAATTCTACTTTCTGAGCTACTGGCATTAAAGTTGTGAGCAAGTGATTTGGCTACTGCATAATTAGTGTGCTCTGGAGCCATCTTTCCTGAGCTAAGACAAAAATCTGCGAGCCAGAGGCTAAAAAACTGTGAGCTAGCTCACACCAACTCAGCTTAGAGGGAACACTGGTTAAAACATTAAAACAGTACAGAACAACATACAATACAATAAATACAATTCACTAAAATTTTACTTCACGGTGCTCCAAAATTATTTAACTATAAAATTGAAGATGGAGTTCCTGGCTCCTGTCATTTGGACACGCATGGGAACTTCCGTGTTCAGGACTTAATTCCCAGGCACGTAGGGGCCTGATTCAGATCTAGACCGTGGGGAAGGGGGCTTAGATACCCCCCCATCCTCCCCATCGGGGCTTCTGGTTGCCCGCTGGAGCTCTGATTGGCTCTGCCGATTTAAATAACATTTCTGTGACTCCTCCTGCCTAGAGATGTGAAGGCCCGGAAAAAACCCCGGAAACATTCGGGGGGGGGGGGACATTTTTTCCCGAAAAATTGGAAAAATTGACAAAGAAAAAATGATTATGGCACATTTTATTTTAACGTGATGAATAAAATATTTTACGACAAGGTGTTTACAAATATTGTCACAAGAAAAGAAAAAGGTTTCAGGTTTTGTTTTTGCCTGTGGGCGGGTAATCTGTTTGTAATAATTGTTTGGATACACTATATTTTTAATAGGCTACTTGTGATAATTTCATGCCAAGTAAAAATGCCCATAGTCCTATTTTATGTTTCCAAAGTAACAGAACGACTTTCAATCTGGAAAAGAAAAAAGAAGTGCTCATGTAGCATTTTTTTTTTCAATTTTCCCGAAAATTTCCGTTTTTTCCCGAGCTTCAAAATTTCCGGAAATCTTACATCTGTACTCCCGCCTCCCGCACTTGCTTCCTCTGTGTGTGGTGGGCTGCAGTTTCCGTGGTGACCATTCTGTGGCCCACCTCCCGCAGTGGCCCCTTTGTTGGTTGTGCCCACCACCCTGTGTCAGAATTCCAAAGGTGTCCGCAGGCTCGAAAAGGTTGGCGGCCCCTGGGATGAAGGCATCAGCCCCCACTTCCTGTTTGCCACCCGGCATTTATTATTCAGAGGTTCCACTGAGCCCTGTTAGCTCCAGTTGTTGTTGTTCAGTCGCACAGTCGAGTCCGACTCTTCGCGACCCCATGGACTAGATCCCGCCAGGCCCTCCTGTCTTCCGCTGTCCTCTGAAGTTGGCTCAATTTCATGTTCGTTGCATCTATGACACTGTCTAACCATCTCATCCTTTGCCTTCCCCGTCTTCTTTGACCTTCAATCTTTCCCAGCATCAGGGTCTTCTCCAGTGAGTGCTCCCTTCTCATTGGGTGGCCAAAGTATTTGAGCTTCAGCTTCAGTATCTGGCCTTCCAGGGAACAGTCAGGGTGGATTTCTTTTAGGATTGACTGATTTGATCTCCTTGCAGTCCAAGGGACTCTCAAGAGTCTTCTCCAGCACCATAGTTCAAAGAATCTATTCTTCGGCGCTCGGCCTTCCTTAGAGTCCAACTCTCGCAGCCATATGTGATGTCTCTACTTTTTATCATGCTGTTGAGGTTCGCCATCGCTTTCCTCCCAAGGAGCAGGCGTCTTTTAATTTCATGGCTGCTGTCACAGTCTGCGGTGATCTGGGATCCCAGGAACGTGAAGTCTGTCACTACTTCCACGGCTTTCCCTTCTATTTGCCAAAGAGTGATGGGGCCGGATGCCAATATCTTATTTTTTTTTTAATTTGAGCTTCAAGCCCACTTTTACGCTCTCCTCTTTTACCCTGAGCAAGAGGCTCTTTAGCTCCTCTTCACTTTCTGCCATTAGAGTGGTATCGTCTGCATTTCTGAGGTTGTTGATCTTTTCCCCAGCAATCTTAATTCCTGCTTGTGATTCATCCAGGCCAGCATTTTGCATGATGTACTCTGCATATATATTAAATAAGCAAGGTGACAATATACATCCTTGTCGTACTCCTTTTCCTATGCTGAACCAATCAGTTGTTCCATATCCGGTTCTAACTGTTGCTTCTTGACCCTTATACAGGTTTCTCAAGAGACATGTGAGGTGGTCTGGTACTCCCATCTCTTTAAGGACCTGCCATAGTTTGTTGTGATCCACACAGTCAAAAGCTTTAGCATAGTCAATGAAGCAGAAGTAGATGTTTTTCTGGTACTCTCTTGCTTTCTCCATAATCCAGCGAATGTTGGCAATTTGATCTCTAGTTCCTCTACCTCTTCGAAACCCAGCTTGTACTTCTGGCAGTTCTCTATCCACGTACTGTTGAAGCCTAGCTTGTAGGATCTTGAGCATGATCTTGCTAGTGTGTGATATGAGTGCAATTGTGCGATAGTTTGAACATTCCTTGGCATTGCCCTTCTTTCGTTAGCTCCAGTAGGTAGAATTAATTGAGCAAAGAGAATGTGAGGAACCCCCTGCTGTGTTGCCTGAATGGCCTCCTTCTCCCCTCTCTCCCTTAGCGACCCGCCAACCCAGTTGTCTCGCCTGATGCGCAGGAACGGGCTGACCCGCGAGGACGCAGAGGCACGGATCGCCGCCCAGCTGCCCCTTGACCAGAAAGTCAAGATGGCCGACCACGTCATCGACAACTCGGGCAGCGAGGACGCCACCAAGAGGCAGGTCCTGAAACTGCACTCCTCGCTGGAGGACTCTTTGGATTTCATTTGGGTGCGCTTTGTGGCCGTCACGGCCGTGGTGGGGGTCGGCGGCCTCGTATACCTCCTTCTGCGGAGGCTTGTGTCTTAATCTGCCAGGGGAGGGGTGTCTTCGGAACGTGTAGCTAAAGCTTTCCAGACAGGAACCATCTGCTTTGGGAAATGCTGTAGTAACCCACAGCCTGGAGTCAGTGTTGCAACATGACTACGGAGGACCGAATTTTATATCTTTGGTGAAACACATCTCAGGTACATGATGATACACCCACCACTGCGTGGCCTTTCCCTCAAGGCACTGTACATACCCAGATACTGGCTGGGTAGTGTGTTGCCCTGAACGAGGACCTCCTGGGGTCCTGCTGCCTTCGGTGCCCCTGATGGCTGGGGCTGAGCGGAGGCCCCCCCCAGGTATTAACACCCCCTCAGTGTGCCCCCCCCCGCCATCATTTGCACGGCTCGACCGGAGCCCTGGTCTTGGTACTGACCACAGCATGGACAGCTTTGCTGTGGATCTCCACAAGGTGACCAATATGAGATCTCTCTGGACTGTAAGAATTGGGGGGATGGTCAAATTAAATTGGGAGATGTCTTTCCGGTGCCTTGGAGGATTCCCTGTCCAGAGAGAAACAGACACCGGTGAGCATTGGGCTGCGTGTTTATGGTTTTGTACCAAGTGCCATGGTACTGCTTTTCATTTAAACGTCTTTCTTTACCAGTCGTGCAGTCCAAATATTAACACTACATACTTCTTTTTTTTTTAAGCATTTTTATTGAGTTTTATATATTTTTACATCCTGTATTACTTGTTAGCTGTATACAGTATCTTTCAACAACATCTAATAAACGAGAAGAGAAATGTTATCCATATGCAAAATACTTATTAATAAAACACAAAGTCTCTATATTTCTGAGGTAGTGCATATAATCGGGGTTGACGCGCAGTAAGATATTCAAAAAACACAAACCATTTTCCCAAAAAATTATTAACACCTTTCGGATTGTCAAAAGCTATTAACTGCATAGCAATTTTATCTGAAGCTATCAAGTCCCACAGTTTAGATCTCCATTGTGACAGATTTGGTACCTTAAACTATTTCCAATTTAAAGCAATTAAGTTTTTTGCAGCCATTAGCATAGTAGAAATTAACTCTTCGTTCTGTATAGACATGGAGCTGCGGTGGCTCAAGTGGTTAAGACGCTGAACTGCAGGCTGTGGAAGGTCGGTAGTTCAGCAGTTCGAGACCCGAGTTGCCGCATGACGGAGTGAGCTCCCGTCTCTAGTTCCAGCTCCTGCCAACCTAGCAGTTCGAAAGCAAGAAATTGCACGTAGATAAATAGGTACCACTTCAGTGGGAAGGCAACAGCGTTCTGTGCAGGGCCGGCTCGCTCACTAGGCAAACTAGGCGATCGCCTAGAGTGGGACGGCCTTTAGGGGCACCAAACTGCACCCGGCCCCGTACTCTGGGAGTTTCTTGATTATTTGTGTTTTTCATTCTTCCTAAAATGCATTTATTTTTGAAAATTGGTGGGCGCACCTGGGGGGGGGACAGAAGGGATCCTCACCTAGGGTGCAAAATAAGCTGGAGCCGGCCCTGGTTCCGTGCGCCTCGGTGTTCAGTCATGCCGGCCACATGACCACGGAAACGTCTTTGGACAGCGCTGGCTCTTCGGCTTGGAAACGGAGATGAGCACCGCAACCCTAGAGTCAGACTCGACTGGCTTTCGAGAAAGGGAACCTTTACCTTTTCTGTTTAGCCAGCTTCAGACCTGGCCAAAAATGAAACAAAAGAGTTGCAGGTGTATTTGGAATCTCATAATTAGTTTTGCTTCTTAAGACAATCCCTGCAGGTAAGGTCTAGAACGTGTTGATTCTTCTTCTGCGTGTGCGCCTGGGATTCCGACCGATGAGCCTGCAGGGGGGGGGAGTGGGTTCCTCGCATTTGGGATTCTTCAGGCACAGCTGTGCTGTTCTTCCGGCTGACTCCTCTCATGGAGTCTCTCCCGCCCTGGTTTGTCTGTGGCAAAACCCTTCTGGGCACCGTGGGAAGAGCTGCACTCGGGCACACGGCTGAGGTCTCGTCGCCGTTCTCTTTTGGGAAATAAATCCCAGAAACGGAATGCCTTTTGCTAGGACCAGGCAAGTTGTCACAGAACCACCATGCATTACAAAACCATTTCCGGAGTGCTTCTGCAAAGAGGAAGAAGAGAAGAAGAGATTGGATTTATACCCCACCCTTCACTCGGAGCCTCAGAGCGGCTTACAAACTCCTTTCCCTTCCCCTCCCCACAACAGACACCCTGTGAGGTGGGTGGGGCTGAGAGAGCTCTGACACAAACTGCTCTCTTTCAAGGACAGCTGTTATCAGAGCTATGGCTTTCCCAAAGTCATCCAGCCAGGTGCAAGCGGAGGAGTGGGGAATCAAACCCGGTTCTCCCAGATTAGAGTCGACGCCACTACACCAAACTGGCTCTTGCAGGGCATGCTGCACAGATCCTGGGAAGAGCCATGTGTTAAGAATGAATGCAGCAGTGTGCTGGTTGGGGGCATGGCCTTTTCCACACATCGCTCAAAAGCTGGCCTGGATTTGACACTTGGCAGTACGCTTGGGGAACCGTGGCTCCTGCTTGCTTCTGCGGCCGATGACGTCTGCCGCGCTTGCAGCAGTACAGTCTCTAGTGCTGACCGGCAGGACTGGTGTGCTATCCAGTTGCTCATGGAAGTAAGTAGTTTGCAATCCAACTCCTGTGAGGCAAGGGTCAGTTTGGCTGGGATTAAAACCTCGAACAGGCAGGTTGGGAGGGATCTCTGGATGCCCCCGGGATAAGGCCCGGAGAGCCAAGGAGCAGGGCTGGCTGAGCGGGGAGGGCCTGAAGGAGGGCAAAGGAAGAGCCACCAAGTTTCAGGGAAAGA